TGCGTTTTCCCCTCGTCCTGCTTTTAACCCTCTGTATCAATGGATTGCGCATTAATGTGAACTGCGCGCAGCAAGTGCGGAATGTTTTTTTCCTTAGATTCTAGGACAAAGAAGAAAGAACAACGTTCGCATGCCAGTTTCAAGAAGTTTGTTCTAATTTGCTCTCAGTTCAAATTGCGGTATTGTTTTTGCATACGCGAAGCCATATTACAAAAAATATACTGATTAGTCGTATTTATTTCTGGATTTTGGACGATTGCATCATCTATATTCGGTCATATTTGCACCCCCACGTATTTATGTTAGTTCAGAAATTGGTTTTTGGATAAGATACATAGGCAGCTCAGCATTCAGTCATAACCATCTTACATTGTACATGAAATTTGAAACAACCTAGTGCCATTTCTTGAGGTAGCCGCTGAAAAACGTCTCAAACGGAAGAATTCTCGATTGGATAAGTGCGGAATCCCTGAAGAAGAGCTCTATCTCATGCAACAGCAGTTGATTCAACAAGCCCGTGAACAAGATCCTGATCAGTTACGCGCTCAAGCTGCAGCCGTTCAGCCCCTCGTTCAGGAACAGCAAGTATTTGCTGCGCAGCCAGCCCAAGATGATGACGAATATGATACATAAGAGATCATTTGAATGTTTCTACATGTAAATAGAGGTGTCATAAGAGCTAATGGGTTCATAAGCATATTTTAATTCCACTTTCAAGTTTTGTTTGACTGTTTTGTTTGTGAAGGGAGGGGATGAACTGTATTGGGTTTAAAAAAAATTAATTGTAGATTCTAGTTATCTTATATCTGCTAAATATTCTCTAAAATTTGTATTGTTAATAGTGGAGTGTTCTTGGTTTAGCCAAATACTGTAAATAGTACAATTTAATCACACATTATCTCAGATATCTTGAATAACCTGCGTCTCTAAGAACTTCTTTTCTTTTCTTATTTCTTTTTTTTCGAATTTTCAATAGTATTATGTTGTTTTTCTTCTGATTTAAACATTTCTTTGCTAAAGTTATAGTTTTTATGTCTGATTTTTTTGTTTTGTTTTTGATACCGTTTTTTCGCTTTCACTATCAACCTATAAATGGATTTTAGAATCGTATTTACGTATTTATCAATTTTGACTGGTCTTTTTGCCACTATTATTTATGTGTTTTTGTAGTTGGTGTTTTGCATGTGTGTTGATTGGTACGCAACGCAATGGCATTTGTGTTCAGTTATGACTTGACTTGATTTTAATTCTATTTTCGTCGATGTAAAGCGGGGAAGAGACCGCGTACACATTTTTTTACATGTGTACGCGGTCTCTTCCCCGCTTTACATCTGTGCAATTATCCCATTTGGTGTTAACTCAGAACTTCATAGCCTTGAGTTTAGCAATGGAATACCTCCATAATCTGATGATAGCTCGTGGAATTTATTTTTTTCAAGAGTTTGGTGGGTAATTATGGAATGA